TAGTCTCCTGTGGCATTAACTTTTGGAGAGTGTTGTGATTCAGGAGGAAAACACTCTTATTTCAAATATTTGCTCACTGGGAGTTTTGACAGTGGGTAAGAACAGTCTTTAATACCCATTTACTGACTGTCCCACAATAGTTCAACTGAGGTTGAATCAAATACATGACAAAATACTAGAACAGGAGCATTAGTGCATGAAGGGCACTATAACTGTGTAATCAGTTATGAATTGCGATTGGGCCTTTGAGGCATTATTTATAACATTAATTTTGATTAATTAAGAACAGAGTTTATCAAGTAAAATTTTTTTTTAAACATAATTCTTTTTGTTTTTACAAATAAAAGTTTGAAATGGAACCTTTGTGTTTGCATATTGAAGCAGCTTCTCAAGGGCCACTAAGGTTAAATCTGCCTGTAAACTTTGGAATAAACTATTTTTGTGTTCATTAAAAATGACATCTTAACGCTAAACATGTATCAGCAGCACAGACGTCCCTGACACTGATGTCAGCGTCTACAGTTCATATTTGTAAATAATCAGAATAATCAGAGGTTCCTGAAACACTGGATGGACAGAACAGCACTTCACCAATCTGACGGTTGAATAACCTGAATAACAGAATAAAAACAATAAGTATATTAATTATGTTTATTAGTTCAAAAATTTAGCAGCAAAAATGTTTTTGAATGTCAATATGTGTTTTCAAAATAAAATGTGATTAATTGCAGACCCTCCAATTAACTTGATTATAACATTTAATCTAGTCCATCACTTATATAAAGTGCAACAAAACACATGTTACATTTCTAGAATTTCTGCATAAAGTATTAAAATTGTCACCATTAGAGATCATAGGAAAATAATATTTGGTTGAGGTTAGATGATAATCATATAATTCATACCAAAAGGCCCCCAACTCTTCTTTTGATATGAACTAGTGCTGGAAGCAAGAACTACAGACCACTGAATCAAATAAGAACGTTTATTTTGTATGACAGAATAATAATAAAAATAATACTTTGTTTTTACTTTTTGATCCACAGGAGGTTTTCTGTGCAGGTGGCAAAAGGAGGCGATGGAAAGATTGGTCTGGTTCTGGTGTGAGGATGGAAATGTGCAGAGAAGAATCTTTCTGTTATTGTTTTTCTTAGTCTTTCTTGGTGAAATGATGATAGAGCGTTGAAGAGTCAGTACTGTGTGGCTGAGGTTAGCAGAGGGAATGATGGGGTTTGTATTTTTCCTTTTAAAGTTGTTTCTCGATAAGTCCTGGCAGTGATGGAGGGCAGACTGGTAGAGAAGTGGCTCCCAGGAAGAAGAGTGAACAGCTGTGTAAAACTCAGGAGAATCTGCAGAATCATGGCGTGAAGTCCTCTAGAAATCCAGGAGGTGATAAAACAAGGAGAGGGCTCAGAGAGAAAAAGACAAGAGATAAGGAACAACAAGTAGAAGCCAATAAGTTAAGAAGAGGATGATAACCAAAATATCTAGGAATTCCTGCCTAGTTCTGCTGCTCCTTAAATATTGCCTCTTGATGAGCTAGAATGAGCAGCAACAGGTGAAGTAGCACCCGCCAGTCTCTCTCTCACCCGCCAGCAGTGGAAAAGTCACACCTATACTAAGACATACACCCCCCCCCCACACACACACACACAAGCACATGTACGCACACAAAATGTGTCTGGACTCAGTTCAACATGATTTGACAAGGAGTAGATTATGGCTGCTCAACAAACGAGGCGCTGCCAACTACACCCTAAAGACTGACGAGAATTTCCTCATCAGACCCTTAAAAGCTGCTAAGGATTTGTGCAGCATATTCAGGAAAACTGGAGAGGCAATACAGATTAGACCTACAGATTGGACCTTCAAAGGTAAGACATCACCAATCAGACTCTCAAAAACATGTGAGGGGTTCCTGATTATGTCATCCAAGAGCTCTGAGGTTTCGCCAATAGGACCCTTGAAGACAATCAATGCATTGGCATTGAATGAACAAGATTAGAGTAATTGATAATTGGACATGAATGGATATTGTCCTTTGTCTTTTTCTCTCTGAGCCCTCTCCTTGTTTTATCACCTCCTGGCAATGCCAACTGGACCTTAAGATTTATAAGATGTCACTTTGCTGATCATTCAGGACAGAACAAGAAACAGGGGGTGACAGTGGGTCAGTGGGTGGAGTAGTGGTCTTATGATCCAAATTGGTTTGACTCCATTGTGAGTTGGTATACTGCTGGACAAGGCATGTAACCCAATATCCTAATCAGACTGTGTATGAGTGAATAAATATATCTACGTTTGTTGGTGTGTTTGGGTGAAAGTAGTTAATGTCTAATGCTTTTTCAGTTGTCGGTATGACTAGAAAAGCTGATTCCAACTGGAGGTCAGAAGATGAGTAACCAAACGGGATGAAGAGCAAGAATAGAGATCTCTGGAGAGACTTTGATTCCACTTAAACTACACAAAGCTTGTGGTAGCAGACGTTTAGGTTTAGAGGGGCCCCTGCTGGGTTACAGATGTCATGGCCCACATTGTCCAGACAAAAAGTCCAGTTTGGAGAGAACAAAGTTTGGTTATATTTAGCATCACACTGACAGTCTATTTTCAGTGACTGTTGTCAACACATTTCATGCATAATGACAAGCCTCCCTCCTGTATATTTTAATGTCTCTTTTTTTTTTCTTTTTTAATATGAGGACATCTATTGTACTGGTGTCTGAAAAGCAAATTTATTTTCACATTCCTAATCATATATAGGAACAAAAATAGTCATAATGAAAGACCAAAGCAAAGGATATCTCCAATATGCAGTGTGTGGATTTTTTACACCATGTTCCATAATATTACGCAAATTGGATTTAAGTGTCATAAAGATCAAATGTTTTGTTGTGCTATTCCATTTATAGATTGTATTGTGTGTCAGGGCTCTTTGAATCACCATAATTGATTAGTTTATCTGGTGAACTCAATTAAAGGAAATCTACTTAAGAAGAATGTTCCACATTATCAAGCAGGCCACAGGTTTCAAGCAATATGGGAAGAGAAAGGATCTCTGCTATCATCAGATAGTGTAATGCCGGATGACAAGATATGAAAACATTAGATATTTAACGAAAAATAAAGCGTTATCTTACTGTGAAGAGATTTGTGGCTGATTCAGAACAAAGATGGGTTTGTACAGATAAAGGCATAATGAGGAAGGTTTCTGTTATTCTGTTATTATTGAGGGAGCAGCTGTTAAAATGTCCTTACAAAGCAGAAAACAGTTATTTGAAGCTGCTGGAGCCTCTTGAACCTGAAGGTGGAGGATCCTCCAGAGACTTGTAGTGCATGAACTATTGGGCCCCTAACCAGAGCTCTCAAGCAGAATTGGTGGCAGTGGGCCCAGCCGGACATGAAGATTCCTTTTCAAACAGACTTGCCCACGAATGACTGCTGTGCAACCCTGGATGGTCCAGATGGACGCAGTAGTGGGTTGGTGGTGGATGGCCATTCATCCCAACATGGCTGTAATGTCAGCAAGGAGGTGGTGAAGTCATGCTTTGGGCTGAAATCATGGGGGGACAAAGAGAGGAAAAGAAAGAAAGAGAGAGAGAGAGAAGAGAGAGAGAGAGAGAGAGCGAGAGAGAGAATGTTGGTCGGGCCCTGCAGAGTCCCTGAAGGTGTGAAAAAGACCTCAGCAAAGTACATGGACTTTCTGTCTGATCACTTTCTTTCATGGTTCAAAAAGAAGAGCCGTACCTTCAGTAGCAAAATCATCTTCATGCATGAACATGCACCATCTCATGCTGCAAGGAATACCACTGTGTCATTGGCTGCTATGGTCATAAAAGGGAGAAACTCATGGTGTGGTCGCCATCCTCCTCTGACCTCTGACCCTATTAAGAACCTTTGGAGTTTCCTCAAGCAGAAGATCTGAGGGTTGATGCAGTTCATGTCAAACAGCAGCTCTGGGAAGCTTTTCTGACATCCTGCAAAGAAATTCAAGTAGAAACTTTCCACAAAGTCACAAGTTCAACAGATGCAAGAATTGTGCAGGTTATATCAAAGAAGGTCCTATGTTAACATGTAACTCTGTCTGTTAAGATGTTTTTGATTGAAGTAGCTTTTGATTTTTAGTACATGTGACCGCTTAGTGCTGCACATTCCAAGAATGAATGTTTGCAGTTCTTTACAATCCATAAATGTTTAGAAAATCTGCTGTGCATAATTATTTGGAACAGTGCATTTTGAGTTTTTTATTTTTGAAAGCAATACTGTTCTCTTGGGGAGCTTTGTTCAGTAATATTTGATACTGTAATACTGTAATAGTTCCTGACTTGGAAATTATACTGACCATCATTTGCATCGACCATTTAGGAAAATCTGAGAAAATATCACTCGCATTATAATTTGGAACAAGGTGTAAACATTCCCATTTGCACACATACAAACACACACACACTCCCCTCACAACTCATTGCACCATAAAAAAATTGATAACATAAAGAAAGGCGGATATGCTCTCTAAATTTGTGACTAAAAAAGGAGACCAATCTGTTTTCCTAATCAAATTCACATCTTCATTCCCTCTTCCACTGTTTCTCACATGTTAAACCAGCAGGCTTGAATTTAGCAAGTGGGGAACGTTCGACAGCTCACACATCAAACATGTTTCTTAGAAATGCTTAACGGAAGGAAGAAACATCTGCTGGAAATGAGCTTTTTCCTCCACTCTAGTATGATTACTGATACCCAAAGACATACTGTGCTGATGTTCCTACGTGACCATAGTAATAGTTTTATCTCTCAAGATTTTGTAACAACTTTTGTCATGACATGGTGACAATAAATGTCTGCCTCTCAACGGGACATGACTCATTCTCATATTTGAGGAGTTTTCAGCCTCAGTTTTTCTTAAGAGCATTCTGTAAATGAAAAACCAAGTAGAGGATAAAGAGTAGTCTTTTATTGAAAAAACTTTTATCAAGTCTTTTCAAAAGGTCACGGTAATGTACTGTTGTTGTACAGTACGTGACATCAGCCTACACAGAGTAAGTCACCATCAGAAGCATCGATAATTGGGCAACATTTGGTTCGTAGCAATGCTAAACTTCAGCAAATAGATAAAAAAAAGCATGATTCAAAAAGCAAAAGCAAATATTTGGGGAAAAAATGCAGACGAAGGGTCAGACAGACATTGTTGTGTATTGAATAGTGTGTCCTGATCCAAAGTTTTGTCATTTTTAATTGTTGTAAAATGCTAATTTGTTTACACAATGCTTTGCAAAAGTATTCTTCTTCATGTTGAGCCAACTATAGTGTAGCAGAGAGCAAGTGTCAGGGTGTGAGCAGCATACAGCATACATGTGGTGATGGGCAGCACTAAGTCCCTCCCCCTTACTCTGACTGGTTGTTTCTGACCAAGCGATGTATTTCTGTGGATAGCATCCAAAGCAGCTGGATCTTTTCACTGGTTATCACACAACATGGTGACAGTTTTATCAAATAGGGGAAAACATTTAGTAAAAGTTATATACTGCAGCTTTAAGAATTGGTAATCTGATGACATGAAGGAGAAGAGTAGCATGAATCAGTTTTGTTTACAAGAGAGGATTTTTAAAAAGCCAGCAGTTTAAAACAGACATCTGAGTCCCATTTTGTTGAATTGACTGAAAAGCACAAAGCTCATCTCCCCAGTCGAATGAGCTTTGCAAAAATTAATAAAACCCTTCAAACACAGCTAATGAGCTGAACTGATGAGGAACCACGTTAGTTGTTTTCACCCTGATTAAACCTCTGCGCCTCAGGAGACACAGCCAGTCCGACTAGTCAGCCAAGAATTAATGAGCCACGGAGAACTTTGCCTTCAGACTCCAGCAGGGAACAAACTCAAGGAATCGGTGGCACCTTTTGGTACTAACGGATCCCTAGGTTTAATTGGTTGAAGAGAAGCCCAGGTTTAACCGGTTGTAACACCTTGACTCTGCAGTGTAAGCCTTCATTACAAACTTTACTCTAGAGAAGCAGCTTTTCCACTGTGGAGCCTGAACGAAGCCCAGCGTGGATGGCTCTGCGAGTGAATCATGTACCATTCCTGGAGTTTTGTGGTGAGTGGCTCAACATGTTGATATTGAATTGGGCCTGTTGGTAGAAAGAAATACTTGAATTTTTTTAAGCTTAGATATTAACTTGAGAGATTTTAAAGTCAGAACCAAACATAGATTTGTTTTGGCTCTTACTTATGTGTTACTTTCCCATATGGTTCTGTGTAAACATGATTGTATGTTTTTGCTTCTTTGCTACATTTAAATATTTCAAAAACAATTCCACAACATGGTGCCCTGAGAAAATACTAAAATTGTTTTTCAAATTATGATTTAAGTTATCAAGTGAAAACAGGTCATCCAAACCAGCTATGTGATAAACCAGATGCTTAGATTTCAAAAACAAGTTGAGTTTCATTAACCACACCAAAGCCTTGCTGCCTGATAAGGCTTTGAGAAATCTCTGAAAGGGAAACTGTCTTAAAACACAACATATGCTGAAAGATCTTTGGACGCAACACGACATGATGCCATTTAAAGGAATGATGAACAAAATCACCAGCTGTTTCTCCATCCAATGGCCATTTTGACCGAAATTTTCAAATGAAAAAAAAAAGACCCAATAAAAAGTAATAAATAGAAAAAGCGAATTAGAGGTGTTTCCACCTACTGATTTGGCGACACAAAGAGTAATTTCATCAAATGCTGATGTTACACATGGCTGCAATAAACAAGATGGAGAAGTTGGAAACTAGCATGTATCACACATCTCAGAAAAATGGAGAGTTCTCCCCCGGGAAGCTGAAGGTTTGGACTGCGGTCTGTGCCTCTGGTAAGACATGTACTATGTCAGAATTTAACCTCAACCCAGCATAAAACTTTTAGTTATTTTGAATGTACCATTGCCATCAACCTGTTCTAATGAGATACCACAAAATACAAATAAAATCATTGACGGAAACAAGATCACTGACATCATCAGTCCATCTGGATAGGGTAACAAACCCATTTTAATTAAGGCTTTTCTGATTTCTTTAAAGAGAACAAGGGACGCATGGAGAACCCTCATTGTTTATGATTGTACAATAAGGAAAAACTGGGTGGAAATCACTGCGATACTTCCAAGGCAACAACATCTTATTACTAGGAACATTATTCAGCACTTATTGGCAAATTTTCTGTTCATTGATGAGATAAAAGGGAACTTTTTGGGAGATGTATAATCAGTTAAATCTGACATTTTAATGACATCATGTCAGAAAATGAATGTAGTATCTACACTTAGTTGAGTATAATAGTTGTTGGTTTTTAAGTGTAAAAATGTTGCACTGAAAATGTGAAGTAAATGTTAGTATCATCAGTTTCTTTCACATCATAGTATTGGACTCATTAATAATACCTAAATAATACCAACTAAATGTTTTGAAAGTTTTGGTCCTAAGATGACAAAATGGAAAAACCTTAAATTTGTAGTAAGAGTTGTGTTGTTTTTCTCTGAACTGCGGTTGAAAAATATGATTAGTTTAACTGGAGATATTGAATCCATCACTGTTGTGGAGATTCGTCACAATCAATCAACCAACCAACTAATATTTTGAAAAATCTTTACCAGAACTGCAACCATTTTTTTTGACACCAGAAACATTGGGCTGTGACTTCTTACAGAAATACAAATGCTTCCAATTCATACATTAGGATACAACATAGAGACATTTATTTCTTGTTTCAATACCAAAACGACATGGTTCATTCCCCATCACCCCAGAAAAGCAGCATTGTTCATTAGTAACTAAAAATGGACAACAAACTAAAAAAATATCAGATTAACTCCTGTGATCTGTCCGTTTCACCTTCAGTTCTTTTCATTGTGAAACACCCAGCCAACAAAGTAAATGATTCACAAATAAGTGGGTGTGTGTGCGCCTCTGTGTGAAAATATCCTTTGTAACAAAAACAGAGAAAAGAAACGTTAGTTGTAATCCTCCCCCCTCAGGAAGTTGACTTAGCTCCCCTTTTCCCTTTGTGTTTTTCTCTTGTGCCGTAAATCCTGAAAAATGTTGGAAACCACAGAGGGCAGTAGTGTAATTCTTGGCTGGGTCACAGTTTTTTTTAAAAGGCAGAGGGGAAGAGATCATAGAGGAGATTCTTGGATCCTGGACGTGCGGCGTAACAACAACGAAGCTGTTTGTTACCAAATGTGTGACTAGATACAAAACAAAGGGTGGAGAAATAAAGACTGAACCAAAATATCATTCCTGTGTTCTTCAACTTTGTACTCGGTCTCCTTTTAAATTCCATATATTTATTTTCATATATATTTATGTATATATTTATATATTCTTTTTACAGTTAAAAACATCATGGTTTGACAGACTATTTGGTTTCTTTTCGTCTAAGTAGAAGTGTTTTGTTGATGAAAGCTTGAAGGTATTGTTTTCTCTTGTCCATATGGTCAGTCAGTGGAAAGTTGGCCACTCTGAGTGTTTGTACACTTGTATCCATACAGTATGCATATTAATAGGATTTTCCGTGATGTTTTTTTTTTTTTTTCAAGTTGACATTTTCCATTCACATCTTACAAGATACAGAACACCAGGTCTGCCAACAGTATCAAACCAAAAACAAAAAAGGGGCGTGTCCCGGAAACGGAGCGTTCTCATTGGACCGGGTCTCTGTGCGATAGCAGCTGGGTCTGCGTTGGTCCGCCGCAGCCGAGTCCCGCTGCGCTTCCGCCGCTAAGGTTCAGGAAACAAACAGTTTCTCGAGGCTCCGCCGGCGTGGCTGCTGCTGAGCCGCTCCCGGCCTCTTCCTGCTCCCTGTGGGCGAGAGCCAGTGCTCTGAGCTGCTCCTGCGCCTCCCCCAGAAGCAGAGCCGCCGCCTCCTGCCGCCGCCCGACGGACAAGGACGAGGACGAGGAGGGCCGGGCGCGCGCCGCCCGGTCCCTCCTCTCCTCCTCGCAGGTTGTTGACATCTCGATGGTTTCCGGGCTGGTTTGCATACAGGACACCTCGTTGTCATGGTGACCCTGAACGGAAGGAATGATGGGTATGGAGCAGGAGCGAAACGGAGGCGGAGACGGGGACAGGCTGTGGCGGCGGCGGCCGGGCCTCCTCAGGCTGCGGCTGCTCTGCGGAGCGGAGAGCACCTGCGCGCCGCCGCACCAAGGCAGCGCCGACGACTGTGTGTCCATGGAAACGGGAGTTTGCATATGTACAAAGGCATCTTGTTTGGTGTCGCAGCCCAGGCTCTCCTCCTGGGAGTGGACCCTGAAAGAGACAAGACAGAGAGAGAGAAAAGGTTATTCATCTGGAGAAAACTTCCACCCTTCACAGAGTCTCTGCTGTGTTTTCAACTCAATCGCCTTTTCAAACTCCCACGTCGACCGGAGAATACAGCTCTCCGCCCTCAGCCATCTTACAGGCTAAAACCGAGGATGTAGAAGGAGAAGAAAATGAGTCTGACATCTTTCTTTCATCTCTTTATATCTGAGTTTACACTCCCCCCCCACACACACACATACACACACCCCCCCCCCCCCCCCCCCCCCCCCCCCCCCCCCCCCCCCGACGCACACACACACAAACCTTCAGAAATTCTCACAAAGACAAGGAGGAGGCAACAGAGTTCTTCTCATTATTGATTTTAACAAGTTTTAAGAGAGTGGAGCTGAGGCGCTGAGCCTCCTCCAAGGACAGCATTGTGTGTTGATTTGTGAGGAGCCGGGTAACTTCAGGTCAAGAGTTGCTTTAAAATGCTCTGTGAGTCGGGTTTAGAGACTGTGTGGCTGCAAGAAGGTCAGAAGGTTTTTAATCAGACTTTTCTGGATGTATTGTTCACACTTTGACCGCTGGCGGCAAACCTGCCCACCATCGTGTTTGGTATTGTCTCAAAAGTCTTAATATTTTTACTTTCTCACATTTGAGCTGTTTTAAGTCTCTGCTATGTGAGCTATCATGTGTACATATATTTATCGTGAAACATTTCTATGATAAGAATTGATGTAAGCAGGTTTTATTTCTCTTTTGATATAATTAAACAAATGTATTTTTTTTTGTCATTCGGGTTGTTCCTTTACCTGACTGTAACACCTTTGAAAACTCTGTCATTGTTATAATCGTGTGACTTTAAGATTGGGAGCCCTTCCTCCTCATTTCTTCTTCTGTGGTATTATTGTTAAATTGTTTGCCCCTGTTGTCATGTTGCCCTGCAGGAGAGATGGGTGTTTATTTATTTTTGATCTAAATTTATCCAGTTTATTTATAGGTTTATTAAGCTAGTTTTTATCATATCCACAGTAATATGTAAATCCATTCCTTAATGTGAATATTTAAGTGAACTAATGCTTGCATTAGTTCACTTAGCAGGAGTTAACTTTGAAGTAAACCAATGTCAATACGGTCAAAGAACCCCTTCAACACAGCGTCAAAACACGTTTTTTTGAAATTGCCATATTTCCATTAAGCAAATTTATTTTGAAATGTCAAATTGTGCAAATATTGTGCAATTTGGAAATGTAGCTAGATTTACTCTAGCTGTTTGGACATTTTGGCCCAAACAGCTCCAGGTGTCGTTACAAGACCAAGCCATGTTTTCTTGCACCAGATAAACGTGACAAGTTTAATAAATGATGCCATCTGGTGGTGGAGCTGCTGGCTGAACAAAGATAACCCCTTAAATGACCACTTTATCCCCGCAGAGCCAGCTTTGTTATCTTCAGATAATTAAACAAGTTACTGTGATTTGTAAGATAGTATTAACGAATGCAGTGTCTCCTTCAGGGTCCTGTGAAGTTTGACCCATTCATCCAGCTCAGCCTTTATCAGGGTTAGGATTAGGGTTAGGGCCCAACTGACTTTCCAAAGATTTTCTTTTTTCAACCCAAATCTCTGCTGCCACAAACTTTTCATCTCTGTATCTCGGCACTCATCTGGCTGCACTGACTCCTGGCGTAATCTCTTTCTAAGACCAACCGCTTCCTGCTGTGTTATCCGTGTCTAAATCCAGTGTTAATCTGCAGGAGAGACTCTTGTCTTTGTCTAATCATTTATAACACTCCCCAAAAACAACAATGTCCACTCCGTAGCCCTTTCAAATTCTCATCCTCATCACAAATTCTCCTTTTTCCATCTTTGGTTTAAAAATAACACTGTTGTCTAAAGGTACATTTTTTAGACTTTGGGGAAATCACTTCCTTGTTTTATCTCTGCTGTGTGTTTTTTCCCCCTCCATCCGACATAAAAAAAGCTGCTAAAAAAGCAGAGTGGAGATTTGGGGGACCCTGCAGAGAGAATCCTGCAAGCGATAAGAGAGGATGATGTGAGGGTGCTAATTCCCAAGATAACATTCACAGACAAATCTCTTTTTTGATGTGTTGAAACATAATCAGATTGCAACAATCTGTGAAGAGCAGTTCAAATATAGACCCGCAGGGCAACGCTGGAGCAACTGGAGCAAAAAAAAAAAAGAACAAAACAAAACAAAACAAAAAAAAAACATGGAGATTGTGTCCAAATGAGGAAACAATAAGTGGTCGGGCTTTTACCTTAAACCGGAGTTCTTTACAGGTAGAAGTGTCAACAGACAGTTTCATTCATCTGTTGCCCTAAAGATTATTTTGGAATGTGTGAGAGAACAGAAATCGGTTCTGTTCAGTTGAACTATTTCAACAGAGATCTGTGCAAAGTGTTGTCTGGTTGTTCAGACGTTTGTTGTCGTGTTTAATGAGGACATGTGATGAGACAGTTCAAATTTCTCTTCAACTAGTCCCTCTATGTGGCAGACTTAAGTAGAGAAAAACTATTCCTTATTTGAAAGAAGAAAAAAACAAGCGTGTAAAGAGGCACCCAACTTCTTCATTGGCCAGTTGGGCTGAGGATTTATTTTAAAATAGTCGTAACAATTTTCTGTCTCCCTGTCAGCCATTTTGCTGAGATAACGCCAGGCTTCTAAATCAGGGATAAAAAGAGACCACCATCATTTTTAAATTTCTAAGCCCATTTTCTAACTGTCATTAACTATCTGCACAGTCCTCTGTTACGCCCTTCTTTGAATGTTTCTGTATTTTTGGATTTTCTCCTCCCTGCTATTTCTGGATCTCTATGTTTCTCTGTTTCCACGCAGTCGTGGTCAGATGCCTCCATGGCAACCCATGTAACAATGGTACAGTAAAGGGATTTGGCCGTCTGTCCGTCCATCTGCCGTTCTGACAAATCCTGTCTTTGAGACAATGAATGAGTGGATGGTGGGCCATGGATCCAGAGTGTGTGGGTTAGTGACCCTGTAAGCACAAGTGCATGCATCTATTCGCACAGACTATATGAATAGATGATGTATGAATTGGGTGTGTGTTTTTGTATCTGGAATGTTTTTCCTCATGTGCCTAAACACAGATAACAGGTCAAGGCATCCTCTCTGAAACAGAACCTTGAAGTAAGCATTGACCATAAATTTAGGTTTAAACAATATTCTTCATGTAAAGTCCTTTGACTGACAGTTTTCCTGTCAACAAACACACTGCAATGTGACACCACATGAGCAAGATCATGCTGATGATGACTATCATTAGTTTTAGCTGTCAAGTTGTCAACATAGTGCACCATGAAAGTGTAAAACAAAAATGGTCACAGTGTTTTGCTACTAATTGTCAACACCACAACAATTAGATAAAAAGGCCAACAGGTGTCACATTTCAAAGGTCAGAAAAAGGTTTTCATAAAAAAATAAAATAAATAAATAAATAAATAAGAGAGACGGATGTAGGTCAGATATGCTAGCTTGACTTTTACAACTTTGACATGTAGATGTGCAGCAGAATTTGTTGTTTAGGTTTGCTTAAAACAAACGATACCAACTCTCTTACTAATCATCAGTAGAGTCGGTGTTTAAAATATCAGCCACCGCTGTGTTCAGACCATCACTTATTAATAATGCAATTCAAACATAAAGCCTGAAAACATAAAACTGTAATGGACTGAATGTTCCTGTCATTGTGTGGAAAAAGTTTGCGTGTTCTTTGATGCTGAATCCTGATACATTAGAGTCATACATTGTTGATAGTTGTTATGGCAACAGGCCTGTGTGTATCACATCCAACAAAGAGAGCAAAAAAAAATATGAATGTATTTGAATTGTTCTCGAATGTTTCTTCTGTGCGATTTCTCAACACCAAATCAATAATCTCTAGTATCTCCAGCTATTTTGTTTATACAATTTGAAACATAATTGTGTATTTCTCATTTGAAAATATTTAGGAGATTAACCGTAAGATCTAGTATGATGTCTTCTGCTACTATTCTATTAAGAGAAAGTGTAACACCAAGAAACGGGGCTTAGCCCTGATGTCCAACAATCCTACTGTTTGCTAAGTCTTTTTTTGATCTTTTAAGATTTCTGTTTCCACATTTACAAAACAGAAATACAATAAATTGGCTTCTGACTCATTTTCACTTTGATTTACCTTGACACGTAGGCAGGAAAAAACAAAAAAATCCAATCATTTTTGTCTGAACCAAGCGATAACACTAGTACACAGTTGTGTGTTAGCTGGACAAAATAAACGAAGAGAAAGAAGCTATTGAAAAAAAGTATTTCTTTAAGAGATCAAGAATTGTTTCGAGACACTTCCTAGTCATAATTGAATGATTTAAAAAACAGTATGAAGAATTTGGCATCTTTAGACTTTGGGTTTGTACCCATATATATGGCTGGATAAACTAAACTCTGAAAGAAAAACCATCCATCTATTTATTGACTGAGTCAAATCACAACAATAAATCTTTCAATTCATTGGGATTGAAAGGTTTAGCATCATAGTCTTTAATATTTAATAAAATGTAGTCTTTTTTTAATAAAAATGCAATTATGAAAAGCCTGTAGTTAATTAGATACTTTTTAAAATTATGTAATGTCATTTTATTCTACTGCAGAGCATTTTATGGTCACAATGAAAATGTATTAAAAGCCAATAAGGCATACTAAATTTGATATTATTGCATTTCATTTTTTACAAAGACAAATAACAGATCATTGTTTATATGATACGTTGACATTGTGTTCCTTAAAGGTGTGTCCCATTTCACGGTGGTACATTTAGCAAATTAAATTTGTGCTACAAACAAAAATAGTTGCGGCACTGAAAAAGAAAGTTTCACTTGACTTTCTGTGGCAGAATCTCAACTTTTTTTCAGAGTTGTGTCTAAACAGAGAAAAATAGAGCTGCACAGACTAGCTAGTGATCCGAGGGGAAAGCAGGCAGGCAGGCTGCCAGAAGGGAAGGGGATGAGCCCATCTTTTCTCTGCAGGTGGTCCCAACACAAATGGCTCAGAGACCAAGAGGTTGTTTCGTTTATCTCAGTCTGAAAGAAATAAGTCTCATCACTGCTGTCAGTTGTTGCTGGATGAAAAAAACAAACAAAAAAAAAACAAAACTGATGGATTTCTCTAGGCTATTCCATTTCATTTGGCAAACAAGTCTTACTTTTAAAGACTTTTTGATCTGAATGCAGAGCCTGGATTTTTTCTGTGTCAGTAAGATATGGCTTTTTTTACAGAAAACTAGAACCTGTTTACATAACATTTTCAACAAAAATTGAACCATAAAGCTTTCGTCGACAACAAATGAGTGTCATTTTTGTTTAGGGTTATGATGTACAGCATTATACTGTTCAGTCTTTCTAACCACACATTTTCAGCATTGTAATTATCAAATAACATCCAATAATAAAATCCAGTTTCTGGAGGAAGTTTGGACAAATATCTCAATGGAAAGTCCTGCACCAATGACTCTTAACCAAACTATCCCACTTTAAGTTATGTTATGGATTGGAGAGCTTGTCTGTAGTTAAACCTTCAGTATCAAAAAGTTACTTTTATTTCCAATGATTTGCAAACAAATATTCTCTTGGCTTATTTTTCTTTTTGCCTGCCTAAGGTTGATGCGCACCAGACGGGTTTTGTCATCTGATGTGTCAGAAAATCGGGTCAGATGACATTTGCAGCAATTACAACATGCTATATTTATTGGGGCCTCGCAGACCACCAGTGACTTCAATGACTATGACTCTGACAGTGTGATCAAGATTGACCGGGGCTCTGCTTGCTTTAGTCAGAACTATGCAGCAATTTGACAGGAATGTCATAATCCATTTAAGGAAGACATGGTGGCGAAGGAAAACACATCCCTAAGGAAAAATGCAAATATAAATATTTTACTCGCTAAAAAAGCAGTGTACCTTCTTATGATAGGAGCTCAGAAATACAGAAAATTTTGAGGGTGAAACAGTGATGTTGTTCGAGCAGCTATGAGTTTACTACTGGCCAGATTTTCTTCATGGTGATGGACTATCCAGCACATCTCATGTGAAAACTCACTCTCACAAGTCCAGTAATCCATAGAAAGATCACCGGACGTGGGAAGAGTCTGTACTCTGTGGCATCAGGTCTTTTTCAGGCTCTAAGGTTTTTATCCAGGATCACTTTGTTTCTAGATACATACATGAATTCTACAGGCTTTCTTGAGGAGTTGTTTCCACACAGGTTCTTTGTGCTTGCTAACCAGGTTTATGTGAATAGTGATTTAATTACTGTTGCTAAACAGTAGGCTGATCTGTTATTTAAGGTAGGTGTAGCAAGAAAGCCCAATTGGAAGAGAAGTAGTCAGGTGTCAGAGAGTTTCCTTTCAGCCACATTGCCACACTACATGAAGACAGCAACGAGAAGCCAGCCTGTTTCCACCCAGGCTCAGGAGAACGGAGAAAAGCAAAAGGATGAGCATAAGGTGCTAAAAATTCAAACTCTTTCTTTAAGTTAAAAAATAATAATTTCTAAAGGATTGACTTTAAAAATATTTATGCTTGAAATGAGATCCAAAGCTTTGTGCATGACAGGTCTGTATTTTTTGTTTAATGGTTTTCATTCGACTGAGTCAGCGTCGAGAGGAAACGGCACAGAGAAACATAAAGACTGGGAGAAGGAGGTGTGAATAGAACCTAAAAATGTCTCCGCTTTAAAAGCTGCTCTTACTTCTAAATCAGCCCACATATACAGATATATTTCTGACTAGGCCTGCAGTCATTTTGTGCTACTCCAGAAATTTAACAGTAGTGAAAAATAATACACATAAAAATATTTCTAAAACTGAGTGAACTGAAACGTGTTTGAAAGGTGGTGAGAGATGACAAAGTAGACAGCGCAGCTGGTCAGCTCTCACCTTTTTTGTGCTTCTGTTTCCTTTTCAGATGGGTCTACTTCCTGAAGGTGTTCATAGGCAGGGCCTGAAAACTTGGATCCTCCGATTGGGTTTAGCCGTCCTCTGGCTATAGGAGGCGTTCTGCGAGAAGTTGACCAGTGAGCCGAGCGGGTTCTCTGCTCAGGGCTGTGGGACAAGGAGCCGCTTCTGTAAGGAAAATAAAATATCATTAAAACTCGACAATTAAAAACATTTTTTTAATGCAATAATTCGGTTCATGACAGAGAAATAAATGGAATGAGTGTGACTCTTTGGAGAATGGTGGAGTTTGACCTTAAAATATGTAGAAAAGCAACCAGCGCCGTTGCCCTGGAAACAAATCTGGCACTCACGACAAACAGCTGGAAAGTAATTTATTCTAAGGAGTGTGAAAAAAAATCAACTCAGCTGAAAATACCAAATTAAATCAGATTTCTTCCTGACTGACTGAATTAAATAGAACATTTTCTTAAATGATGGTGAACAGTAGATAATTGTTAATTTGTTGAAGCTGTTATTTTGGTCATTTTTCTCCATTGAGTCTCTAAGTCTGATATTCTTGATGTAATATCAGATTACATTTGAGCTTCACCGTGTTGCAACTGATTAGTATTATGGGCTTTTGCTGGGCTTTGCCAGGCCAAAGGCCAGCATAATATTTAATGATCAAGTCATTCTGTGATTTTCAGTTTTCTTGTAGAAGTTTAAACCAGTTGATGAGAAAATGGCATTTCTGACTTTTATATTTTCAACTCAACAGACATTTCTCAAATTTCACTGAGTTCATTGAGTTTTATTCATTTGCTTATCTTAGAAAATCCTAATAAATGAACTAATATTTTGTTTGTTCCTTTCAGTATTAGTCTGCTTCATTTAGAAAAATGTTGAGAGTGTACAGGTTGGTACCAGTTGCTGAGCAACAAAAGAAATCTAGAGAATAGTTTTTTTTTTTTTTTTTCTTCAGGTTCACACCAGGACAGGATGTATCTGTCAAGATGTCAGAGTAAGGCCAGTGTATTGCTTTGAATGATGATCAGGAGGAGTAGAAGAAGGGTGGCTAACATCCTGGAGCTTTCTTATTTCTTCCAGGTCAGCCTTTCCCTCTGCAGCTGCACCTCTACAATCATCATTACCTGGTCATCTTGAGGTTGAGTTTGGATTAATTTAACAAGAAACAAATACACTAAACCGACCTCCAGCTTCACAATCATCGATCAGTCTATCAGAGGAGATTGATGCATCTCATTCAGGTGTTGGAGCAACAAGCTCCATGTACTTGGGAGCGTCTACATGTACGGTATTTTGGGGAAATTTTACTTTGCAGCTTAGTCAGCAGTCTAACATTCAACACATTAGAATGTCACACAAATATTTATTAACTGTTTGAAATGGTTCCCCCACCCCCTAAAAAAATCCTCTTCTTCCACTTCCTGTCTTCTTTGTGGTTTTTGTCAGTAGTAACAGCCAGTTGTTGTTCATATCAATCGTAGGTTGTGAAAAAAGTGTTTTTGTTGCGGTTTTGCAAAATACATCTATTTTGATTCAGCTGAAGAATCACCTCATCCTAGAATTTGCATGTTTTTCTAATTGAAAAACATGCTTGTTTTTTTCTTAATTGACATATTTATGTAAATCAAATCAAATCAAATTTTTGTAAAGCATTATTATTAGCTGGTGAGTAGCGGTTGTTGTCACAAAGTTGCAAGTACTCCAAAACATCAGATTTTTCTAAAATGTGCCGAGACCAGATTCCAACAAAAATAATTCAAGCTTTGTCTGTTTCAACTGCAAAATATTTCAGCAGCTGTAAAGTTTTCATAAAAAAACTTGTCAGGATTCATTCACTATGAACTGCAGATCAAAACACCTCTTTTGAGAAAATAAAACTGTATTGGTTGCAGTTATATAAACCAGTTACAACTTCAAAATACATAATGCAATACATTTTATAAGCGTTAAAACAAAAAAATCATCTTTGTTAAAACTGGGTTTAATTGTTGCACGTAACTCCACTTCAGAACTTGGCTCATATTTAGGTCTGCTGGTTTGACTGGCAGATCTGTATGTAAGAACGAACTTGTCAGCCACAACAACAGAAACTTACAGTCAAGCACTTAACATGGCTGACAGAGTTTTCTTTCCCATTTCTGCCTATAAATGAGACCTTTTCTGTTTCAAAGCATGTTTTCAAGCAAAGTGTCCAAGTCATTGCACAAGCTGATGTGAATGCTCAGGATGTGATTTTTTTATAATTTAAGTTTATTTTTAAAAGAGCAAAACAAAACATTCCCAAATAAATAATGTAGCAATTAACGCTACCCTTCTGAAAGAGAGAGTGATTTTAAGAGGAATTAGAGAACAGATCTTGTAGGAGTTTAGCAATTATGCTGAATGGACTGATGGAATTTTGTAGACGCAGTCAGATTTAATAAATGAAGCATCCAGTAATATTCTAAGTTGTTGAGTGGGTCTGTATTGTTCGAAAATATAGAAACTTTAAACACTGCTGGACAGCGACAGGCAGAAATAGGAGGATTGCTAATTTGGTATTAGTTTGAATGCAATGAAAGACATATCATTTGGCATCATAGCAGTATCTGATGTCTTGAAATTGTGTATCTGTCTCTTTAAGAAGCCCCTACTCTTCCTGGCAGACCCACTTTCAGCATGTCTTCACAACAATGCTTCTACATGATGCTGTTAGGAGTGTCGAACTGAGAAGTAATCCATTTCATGTGGTTATATCAGGTGTTTGCTAATTCCTGCTCCCACTAGTCTGAAGGAGCTGAGTGGGGGAGCTAAAGCTAAAAAAAGTAGATTTTGCCTATTTTTAAGAAGAGCTGTTAAAGTTTTGTAACTATGTCTGAGAGAACAAAAATTGATGTTAGTTCCTATCAAAAACAGTGATTGATAAAGGAAGCATCCACTTTAGGTGGAATGCTAACTGCACCGCAACATCATACTTAAAAAAATACAAAGTATTTTTGTATTTTGCTATCAGTGTCTTTCTGAAGTCAAACACATCGAGTCTACCTTTCTCATTTGCTTTTTATATTTCTACTAACTGCTAAGAACTAATGTGGAGCACAAACCTGGATTATGCTGAAAAACCACTCAGCATGTTCAGTTTTTTATAAAAAGTTACCAAGTTGCATTTTCTCAGAATCACTGAATGTCAAACTGGGAGACAATGTTTTATTTGGTTTGTTCTTGTGCACTCTAACAGAAACCTTGCTTTGATAGAGGATGTCATTTCTGTGTGTGTGTGTGTGCATGTGTGCGTATTTGTGTGTGTTGCCATGCCAAAGCCCAGCCAGCAGTGTGAGAAAAGGTTTCTGAGCTCTTACATGTCTGCACTGGCCGGCTCTTGTTTCGTCTCTGTTCCATTTCCACTGCACTCATGACTGCTATAGATATGCTTGTTAAAGTGTTTATAGCTTTAATTATAATTACCACCATCCTTCTGAAAATCAGCAATTAGCCTTGCTGGCACTGTAATGTGGGTAATTCAATTTCCCCTCTTCACTGAGTCCGTGCTGATAACAAGAGAAGACTCAGAAGTTCCTCAATGTTGGTAAAAAAAAAAAAAAAAGTATGTAATCTATATTCCCTCCTGAAGCGTGGAGAAGAGTCACATCTGATTCAGAATGTGGGAGCAGCTAAATGGTTTACCGGTGATGTCTGGCTGCGCCTCTGGAGCCGCTGGGCTGCAGGCCGGGGACAAAGCTGGACTCACACACACTTCCCTGGCGAGACGTGGGGGGACGCTTGCAGTACTGGAAACACAACAGAGAGAAAACAAGTCATCAGAAATCCTGCAGATCAATTTCAGATTTCCTCAACCTTCTCTGATTTCCTTGATTCTGTGAGTGCAAATGTGATAAGTAGAAGGATGATTATTTTTTCTCCAGTGCTGTCCTGGGATATTCTAAAACTTTGGATGATTTCATAACATTAAAAAAAGTTTAGAACAGATATTAATTCATATAAAAAATTTCAATACAACAAGAAAATTGTTAAAAACTTATTTTTCATGTAGCACAAATGTTTCTTTTGTTTTACTTAAGAAACCTGCACAGCAGCAATTGGCTCGTAAGCCTTTTCTGGGATTCAGCGGTAGTACCACATCCACCACTAGGGGCACTCTGCTGTCATTCCACTAAACTGCTGAGAGAAGCAAATAAAAATCCCCTTCGTTATTTTCTGTTTCCTAATTACAAGTTAATAGAGGAGAAAACCGTTTTTTAAAATAAAAGATTACATAATTGAATACTGAATATTGTTAAGATACTTTATAGATAATATGTATTATTTTTGTAAACTGTAGAAGCATTTTTAGAAGTTTGTCAGTTGTGTGTTTCGGTTGTTCGTAAATGCAGTTTAACTAATGGCAGAAACTTAAAACTTGTGTTGTCATTCAGAAATATAACAACATTAATACAGTGACATCTTACTATTTTTTTTATTAATTAGTTTTTTCTACACTGTATGACACTGAGCAACATATATTCCATTCAACTTCTCAGAGAAAAACAACATAAAAACACTCTGATGATTCTTTCTGCCCTACTTGCAACTAACACAAATGTAACCATTAATTAGACAGAGGAAACGTACGTCTCATTCTTGCCCCTTTATTTTATGAGTTAAGTGAAAATGTGTTGATGAGAGACAAAACAGCTGATAGCACGGAAAACGAAAAGCCCTAGAGCAGGGGTCACCAACCTTTCTGAGACTGGGAGCTACTTCACGGGTCCAGAGCAACATGAAGGGCTACTTGTTTGATACAGTCTTTATAAGTATATATGTATGATAATGCTGCCTGATCATATTTAATGTCAGGACTACTCACAATAGTTATCAGTAATAATTTACCATGGCTGAAATATACAAAAGCAAACTGATGGATTGTTGCAATAACACCTGCAGCTGTACAGCACTGAGTACCTTGAAATTTTCCTTTAAATAAAAAAATAAAAGAATAGTTATTGTTTTATTATCTAACCATCTGTTCTATTAGCAAAATTGTGGAAAATACAATATATTTTGTGTCAAAAGATATCATACACACAGCTGTGTCAGTATGAGGGTTGAGGTGGAGAACACCAAAGCCTAAGTCTTATTGGTCAGTTTTCTTTTGTTTATTTCACGGCTTTACGTTTTTCTGTAAGCTAAAAATGAACGAGTTGGGTTTGAACCTCCCGTTGTTCTAAGATCAGCCTGAGCTTCTGACAGTCTGCGCGGTTCTGGTGGGTCGCAGGTTTATTAGCTTTTTTTTGTGGTTTTGCGAACCGAACAGCTGACGGGTCACCCGCTGGCTGACCCCAGCAGATGTTGAAAAAATAAAGGTCCGACACAAAACTATCACTGCACCTGACCTGCAAGAGCACAAGCACCTCTCCAATGCACAAAAATCAGCACAAACCTAAAACCACAAGAGCAGCGGAACTTTTTTTCCAAACTATGCAAAATAATAAAGACATGGAAGCGAAGCCTCCCCATGTGGTTGGTGTTGATTCCCAGGTTCAGGTGTTGATTCCCAGGTTCAGATGGTGTCAGACGTCCAGAGAACGAGAAGGTGAAGCTGTTTGCTTTATTTCTACTTTGGCCAGATTAAATTGTTTAACCCACAGTCTTAGCAACAGGTATCAGCCGTCAGGTGACCCATCAGCTCTCTAGTTCAGGAAACATCAAAGAAACTCATAAACCGACGATCAGGTTTATGAGCTTAGAACTGTGGGAGGTTCAAACTCTTGTGATTAATTTTTGCCTTATAGAAAAAGCATCAAGCAGCCTAATAAATAAAAGTAAATTGAACAAAAAAGATTTAGGCTTTGGGTGCTCACCCTCAGAGACTCAGACAGATGTGCGCTGCGAATAATGTTTTGGCACCATTTATTTATTTTTTCTTCACGGCGCTGCTGCTCTCCGATAGTTTTCTGCAGGCGCTTGCGCGTAGTTCTGAACTTTAGCAGCAGGAAAGAGTTTTATACGTAAAGCAATTTATTTTGAACGTTTTTATCATTTCCTTCCTTTGAACTCTAAATCTAAACAAACGTCATTACTTCAATGTAAAAACATTTAATTAAATTATTTTTTGGTAGTGCTCCCTAATGATAATGGCTATTTTTAGAAGTAGCTCCGCGGGCGACCAGGTGCCCGCGGGCAATGTGTTGGTGACCCCTGCCCTAGAGCATGAGGTTGAGTTACAATTCTATCAGAAATATTTATGACTTCAGAGATGATAGAAGCTGCTATATACATACAGCAATTTGGTAAGAAAAGACATATGTTATTGTAAAACTTTGACTACACAACTGACGGTAGGCATGAACAATAGTCCTCAGTCATTCATTTTTGTTCCACAAAAGACATTAATTTAATTAATACATTTAGATAAAATTGCACATGTGTGGCAATAGAAGTAAGAGAAATGAAAATGAATCAAACAGCAAATGGAATTGTTTTCTAAAAAAATGTAAAACCAGGTAGCTTTTCATCATTTCTAACCAAAAAACAGCATAGACATACATACATACATACATACATAATACATACATACATATACATACACATACATACATACATCATCCATCCATCCATCCATCCATCCATCCATCCATCCATCCATCCATCCATCCATCCATCCATCCATCCATCCATCCATCCATCCATCCATCCATCCATCCATCCATCCATCCATCCATCCATCCATCCATCCATCCATCCATCCATCCATCCATCCATCCATCCATCCATCCATCCATCCATCCATTTTCTAACACCCTTGTCCCCAATGGGGTCAGGAGGTGCTGGTCTATCTCCAGCGAGAGGCGGGGTCATCCTTGACAGGTCACCAGTTTGTCGCAGGACATAAATATATGTTAACAAATTTATTAAATGAATGTGTTAATTTTTTCTTTTTATTGTGAAACATTGAGAAATATTTGGAAAAATTGAGCAATAATCTCTTATTTTACGGCTTGCCTTCCTTTCCCCCTAATCATGTCTCCTCTGCTTAAATCCTTGACAGAATACATCTGGATTAACTCTGGTAGTTTTATGCACATTGCATGTGTTCTAAATCAAAGCAGTTCTTTGATTCTGTTCTATGAACACCGCAGACGAGGTAGACGAACCCAACTAATCGGCAGTAAAAACATGTTATTATGACTTTTGGAATTCAAATGTCAAAATGTTGTGTGCTACTCTTACTGGACATATTTTTGATGTATAATCCATGGCCAAGTGACAGTCTTCTCTGTATAACAAGATTTCACCATCATTCTCCGTGTAGCTCCTAGAAATAAGGCAAGTGATATGTTTTTGTGCTATTTCTTCCTCCAACGTACTTTTTCCAACTTCCTTCTTGTCAGTTTTGATCTCTGACTAAGTGGGCTGTCACTGACACAATGCCCTTTGAGGAAACTCTGCAGGACACCAGCCTTATTAGCATCACACATGCTGTCATGGTGACCACAAATCAGGCGCTTGGAGAATAATTTCTTCTTTAAACCATGATGGCATATGTTCTCATTAAAGTCAAAGATGTGTTTGTAAGATGGCTTGATGTAATTTTTAGAAGTAAAATTTAAGAATCCACATTTTCTTGCTTTCACAAATTGAGAAAATCACATTGTGTGTTGTAAATAATCTGTACTGAGGGCAAAACACATCAACCACCTAGTTCAGTGTGTTTGTCTAAATTTAAGTTGTTAATAATGACATAAATATAATAAAGGCCATATCAAATTATCTGGAATATGCTTCAATCCACTGTTTTTCTTCAGAGGATTTATTCATGCATTTGCCTTTTAACACAGCCACAAAAGTCTTTAAAGTGAAAGGTCAAAGTTCACTGAGATCTATAGTTTCTTTTTGATGGCTTTTTTGTAGTTATTAGGTATATAAGGCTCCATAAAAAAAAAAAAAAAAAAAAAAAAAAAAAAAAAAAAAAATTTAAGCCTGGCACCCTGAAGAAAAATGAAAAAAATGCTCTACAAGTTTATAATGTTGACCTTCCTAATGTTTTGGAAATCTGCCATCTGCTTTTCACATGTGGATTTTGTAATATCCTGTCTGACACTTTCTATTTCATCTCTGCAAACACAAAACTCTTCATAAAGTCAGTCCATGTTGACAGCATCTGACATTTTGAGGGCATTAACCACCTTTGCTAACATTATGAAAACATACAATATGTAGAGTACATATTCTATGTTTTAGGGCCCTAGTTTCCATTTCATGACAGCTTTCTGCTACATATCTTGGTGCACAAAATGATGTTCTGTTGATCAGATGTTAGGTGATCAATATAGTTAACACTATATTAAATGTTAACTATATTAACATTTAATATAGTTAACATGTTGACGGATGTAGAGACAGAAGCTTCATAAATGATCGTGGAAATGCTGTTCTCTGTTTCTGACCATTTAATAAGCAAAGCAAAGATATAAAAAAGTAGCAACTGAACAGACACTGCAGAGGAACAATCAGAGAAACAAACAGAAAAATAATAGAAAAAAAAAAACTCCTGAGACGACTAACGTTGAAAACAAAATGTCTAACAGTTCCACTTCCTGTTTTGAATAAATAATAATGTGTTTTAATAAATTCTAAGTATAATTAGCTGATATTCCCAAGTCAGTCTTGTAATCAGTATTAACTAATTATCCATTTATTTTCTATAATATCTGTTACTGGTTTTAAGTCTAAATATTGTCCATCAAGGGAAATAAGTGAATGCAGCGTTAACGTTGAGAGACTGAGGGAA